GTCAAGACACATTTTTGTATAAACTTATAGCTTTGACAATGCCAATATTTAGATATTTTTGTCTCAAATTGGAGTTTGAGGGGGACTTCCACTCATGGTACCTTGAGTGAGGAAAGTTTGATTTTGACTTGGCCTTTCAGTCAGTGTACCTATTTGGGCTTGATGTCTCACTTGTGGTGTAGCACCTTAATCTAAATATATATTTTTAATCTAATATCAACCCAAAAATAAATATACCTTTATGGGGATTACAACATGATAAGAGCCATAAAATCTCTATTACTGTATACTGAACAGAGTATTTGAAGAATAAGTGGAGGACGAGTTGAACTTTAAAAAAAAAAAAAGAGTTTGGCTCAAATTTTTAAATATGTTTGACAAATCATTTTTGATGAAATCATCATATCTTTAAGTTTGTATTTTCTTTATAATGAACATGTTTCGTCAAAAAATAATTTTATAACAAAATTAATGACAATCAACAACAATAAAATAACAAAACAATGGGCAAGAATATCACACTCTCAAACTTGTCACAGATTCATGATTGAAGTTTTATCTATTAAAAACAAAATGTTCTTTTTTGTCATGCTCTGTATAGGTAGTAAAGAGGATTAGTTATTAATGAAGTAATTTAGCAAGTAATGTTACTTGGAATTAACAAATGATGGGTATTTTTTATAAAATATAAAAATTTGGAATAGTTTTTCTAATTTTTAAAATCCTCAAATATTAGATCTTGGATCAAATACTAATTATTATGATTTTTAGTATTTAGAAGCTTAAAATACTTGACAAATATATTAATCAACTAATGACATGTTATATATATTATATATATATGTCCAAACACCGTTCTCGATTTTTACTCAAATATATTTGAACCAAACGGGTCCTTTAATAGCTATGAAATTGTTGGCATATTTTATTGGGCTACCACCCATAGGCCCAAGTGTGGGACGAGACGCTCGTGAGTCCTAATGGAGATATTGCTATAGCAACCCTTTGAACATCCAAATAGGTTGTTGGAATCAATTTATTTTAGGCTTTTTCGAGTTAAAGTAAGAGTGTGTTTGGTTCAATTTTTTTATTTTCTCATTTTTCAATTTTTTCATCTTTGGTTCATTGGTTGAGACAAAAGTTTTGAAAAATATTTTTCAAATCAACTCATTTTCCTCAAAATTAAGAAAAATGACTTTCCTTCAAGAATTAAGCAAAACATTTTCCAAAACTCTCCCCCAATTTCAAATTATATTTTTTTTTGGAAAAACATCAATTTTAAAAAAATATTTTCAATTTCAAAATTTTATTTTTTCACTCGATCTCTGACCCAACCCCTCCCGAAAAAAATAATTTTGCTTTTTAAAAATATTTTCAACTTCAAATTTTTATTTTTAAATTCCTAACCCCCACCTACCCCCAAACCCCCCAAAAAATAATAAAAATACTATCAACTTCAAATTTTTATTTTTTCATTCCTACCCTCTCCCCCTCCTCCGCCCCCACCCCACCCCTACCACCACCCCAAAAAATAATAATTTTGATTTTAAAAAATATTTTCAATTTCATAAATTATTTTTTACTCTAGTAAAAATAAAACATTTCTCTCAAAAAAATTCATTAATAAATCAAACACTAAAAATTATTTCCGAAAAATATTTTTTACTCACCAACCAAACATGAAAAAATAAGTCTAAAATCTACTTGTTTTCCAGGAAAACATTTTTCATGGAACATCAAATATATGCGGTAGATTATGCTTTTTATGTCGACCGGCGATCGCATAAAAAATATACACACATAATATTTCAAATCGAATATTCTTTTTTAAAAATCTCAAATGATCATACATTTAAATTACAAGTTATAAACTGAGAATACAAATTATAATTTAATCATAATTCGTATTTTATTCTGATAACAAAAATTGACGCTCATATAAAAAAAATATACACACATACGGTAAGTGTATATCCAAAATATGTGTAATTTATTTTATATATATAAATAGAGATTTTTGTTTTTATTTAGGAGAATTTTCGCATATACCCATTTAAAAATAACGTAATTATAATTCATAGGTATAACTTGCTAATTGTCATTCGTAGCTACATGCTATAAGGAGGAGAGAGACGAGCGAGAATGAGTGAGGGAAGAGAAAGACGAACGAGAGAGGGCAATTGTGTGTGTATACATATATTAATAAAAACTTATATGCATATGTATTTATATATCTGACGAGCGAAATTGAGATAGAAAAAGCAAACTGTATATATTTATCTATCAGATAATTACATATATATATATATATAACTGATTTACATATGTATTTGTATATACATATACAAGGGATATTATTACAACTAAAATTGAACCGCAAACTCTAAAGTATATATATTTGTTTATCTACGTAATTCTCCCCATTATTTATTGGACAGCCAAAAAGCAAGAAGGATAGGAAGCGTTAAACGAAAGGCCAAGCAGCTGTCTCATTCGTAGTCCATTGTTTGAAGAATCCCATTGTCCACAACTTTTCCATCATTTAAAATCACTCAATCAATCAATCCCCACTCCCTATCTTTATCAACTTTCCTCATCTATCAACATTTCCAACTATTCTCCTCATAAACTCAACACCATTTTAAAAAAATAAAAAATATATGAAAGATTAACGTTATGTTTGTATGTAGAAAATATTTTATATCAACCATGTGTAACATTTAATTAAATTCAAAAAACAACTTACAAGTAAGTTGCAACAAAATAAATGATTGAATAGTGTAACCAATTGGAGTTTACGAATGAATATAATTTCTAAATGTGAAATCATGAGAAGAAACATTAGGATTATATAGAGAATGATTACTACAAGAGTACAAGTTAACTTTCTCTCCTATTTTTTTCATTGTAACTATTTTCTTTGATCGAATAAATCGTTTAGACCCGAGTATCAAAATTAAATATTTATAAATACATCAAAAAGTTAATATTGCGTGAAAATTATTATTTCTATCCATCGAAAAATCACAAAAACTAACATAAAAAAAGTAAAATATACGCATACCTTAACACCTCGGGAAGTAGTTGGATAGATTATTAACAAACGTTCCCCATGTTTTCTCCTGGAGTTTTCAATTCTATTCCAAAGAGAAAAGAGAGAAAGATAAAGGCCAAAAAAGATTAGAAGAAGTTACCTGTAGGACAGTGTGAAAGTATCGTATTGATATTCCATATCTTTTGAGTTTTAGAGTTATGCTTTTTAACTAAATCGGTTTATATTTGACACATTCAAAGTGAAACACATCAATTTGCTTTTTCTTACCCTATTAAGCAGACAGTTTATTTGCTTGACAAGACGACTCATATCTAACCGATCAATTTTACTTGTCATCCTCGATAAAAATGTAAAATCAAAATAGTTGTCATTTAAAAAAATTAAAATTAAGTAAATTCCGTTTTAATTTCCACCTTTATCATTACTGAGTAAAAAAAACAGTATTAAATTAAAACTGAGATGCTAAGATTAAATTGTTTTTAAAAGAAGGTGATATTATAAAAGGAAAAGTATGTCACATGAAAGTAAAAGTAAGATTAAATATTTTTTTTTCTTAGTATTGTCTAGTGATGAAAGTGAAGTACCTTATTAGTGACAAATGGAGGCATCTTCTAATTATTATAATAATAGTATCAAACATGACAGCTTTTTATCTTAGTGAGTGGGGAAAAAACGGCATCAACGTAGTGGTGTTGAATTATATACGTAAGTATTTTCTAAATCAGGGTCACACCTGTTGGATGTTGCACCCACAAACATGGACCCATAAGTGCAGTTCACAAATAATGTACTAACCAGTTTAATTATGCATAATTACCATCATTATTTGAACTTTGATTTGACATTTTATCAGTAAGTGTAGATTAGTATCACGTTCGGATGCATAGCACATCCAGGCTGTGAACTTCTAATCCACAATAAAAATAATTAAGGATAAGTTTAATTAGTTGGCTTGGTAAAAGAAAATAGTTGGCTTAATAAACTTTTGGATAAAGTATGGGTATTCTTCGTTTTGGTTAATACACACAAAAATAAAATAAAAAACGCAAATACGAAATCACAAGATAGTTTGATCCATATTGTCTAGTTTTACTTGGTCCAAGCAAGAATATTGGATTAAGGTGAAAGATGAGATGCTCATTAGATAGTCAAACTTAAATGGATCAATTTATATTTTTTATTTTACTTGGTCCAAGCAATAATATTGAATTAAGGAGAAAGATGAAGTGTTTACTAGATAGTAAAACTTAAATGAATCGATTATTAGATAGTCAAACTTAAATAAATCGATTTATATCTTTCATTTTACTTGGTCCAAGTAATAATATTGGATTAAGGAGAAAGATAAGGTGCTTACTAGATAGTCAAACTTAAATGAATCGATTTATTCTTACTTGATCCAAAAAATTAAGTATCGAATTATTAAATTGAGATGAATTTATTTTTACTTAATCCAAAAAAATAAATATCGGATTGTTGAACTGAGATGAACATCATATCCTCACCAAATAGTCAAACTTAATTTAATCTATCTATATATCTTATTTGTAAGGTTAGGAAGGACTGTGATGTGAAAGGCATGCAAACAAATTTAATCGCAGATGCTCTTTAGATAACCCATGTTTTTTTATATAAAAAAAAAAGTAATTAGATACGCCGTAATCCAATCACAACTCCTTAATCTGAAATTAAATTGATATTTTGGAAAGAGTAATTTGTCTTACGGAGAATCAACAAAATCTGTGGAGTACGTAACGTTATACTGGCGCAAGTGGTTTATGATATTTTATTAGATTTTTTTTCTTCCTTTGTTGTTTTGTGTTCTTGTAGGACTCCATTGAAACTGTAATGTCTCCATCAGTGAACTGCTTTACAAAACAAACTCGATTATCCCTAACAATGGTGCATTTGTAATCTGACACTACCAGCAAATATGGACAACATATCAAAAGTTCTGAATAACCTTTTTTTTTTTGCTTAATTAATTTACTCTCAAAACTTCAAAAAATAAATTACAATCACAAAGCAGTGATGGACTTGATATGTAAATAGTCAACAAAATCACCGTTAGGAAAAAAAAAAAAAGTTGAGATCTGAAGGAAAAGGATCAATCCTGGAATCCAGTTTTCTCCCAAATAGCATTTCTGACTCTACTCAGATCTCTCCCTTTGAGAGTCCGCCCAACTCCTTCGTGCACGGAAAACGATGCAATTCGTGTCCTCTCTAACTGCTTCGCTAAAAACTCGTGAGGCGGAATCCGATTATCCAAATCATCGTCGTCCACATCATCGTCACTATCTCTCCTTCCGTACTCTCTATACTCATCCTTCAGTATCTTCGACCAGTCCGGTACATTCACCGGCAACGACGCCGCCGTCGCGCCGGAACACTTTCGGTAACTCTTCGTTTCACATTGCTTCCTCGAGATCCTTGAACTCGGAGATTTCTTACGGAACTCCGGCGACCGAGAAACCGTCGATGAGTTCCACACGTCTGATTCGTCGAACTCGAACACCGAATCAGGAGTCATCGCAACGTCTGGCTCGGTGGAGAGGAATCGATAGTTTGCCGTGGCGAAATAGCTCCTTGAAGCTGCCATTGATGATGGATGGGAAGAAATTGAAAGAAATGGTTAATGTGTGTACATACAGACACGTGTATGTATAGAATGAATGTGAAGTTGTTGCAAATTTGGAAGGTAGTATTCTTTGTATTCTTATCTCTCTTTGTTACTCTCAGTATGTGTTGATGTTCTCAAAGAGCGACGAATTGATTTGCTTTTTATAAAGGTTTTTAATAATGGATAAGATTCTTCTCTTTACGTCTCATTTCTCCGTCCACTTCTTTTTTTCATTATTCACTATTATACCCCTAGAAAAATCATGAAGACGCCACGTTATACTTTGGATTTATCCACTATCGACCCCACTAAAATCTACACTTACTCAAAAAATGAACGTTTAGCTGCTGAATAAAATGTTTATTATTCAGATTCTTTTTAAAGAACTAAAAATCAAAATTTTAAATCAAAAAATAGAGATAACCATTCTGACAGTGAAATTCTTATTTACTTAGTATATTTTAATTTGATTTTAGCTCAAATTTATTTTGTAACAAAAAAATTATATAGTTATTGCCATTTTTAATTAAAAAATAGAAATAATCATTCTACAGCAAAAAGTTTGTTTACTAGTGTATATTAATTTGATTTTAGCTGATATTTATGTAATTTTATATTAAGTTTATATATATAAATATTTAAATTTGTATGAAGTTGAATAATTAAATTATCATTGTGTCTTATACGACGTCTTATGTGATAGATAAATTATGGCCTATATGTAGTATAACACGTATGTCTACTTATTTATTTTTCTATTTACTTAAATATACACTTTTACAAATTCAAAATTAAAGTATAATACTAATTGTGTCAAGTTAAAATAGAATAAAATATACTTTAATAAAGAAAGTACTATTTTTTATCTCAAAAAGTGACTAATTCTTTTCATACAAAAAAAAACACTCAACTAATGATAAATATCTTATAATGTAATTGAACTTTATTTCGTAATCAAAAAAAATATTCTCTCATTTAAAAAAGAATGAACCCTATTTTTTTTTAATCTGTTTAAAAAAGAATGATCTCTTTTTTTAGCAACATTTTAACTTTAACTTTCCGCGTGACATGTTTAACACTACAAGATTAAGAAAATTTTTTGATACATCTGACATAACTTTAATTTAGAACTACATGATTAAAAAGTCTTATTTCTTCTCTTAAACTCCGTTGTAACTCAAACTATATCATCCTTTTTAAAATGAAGGAAGTACTCCATTATTGTCATTTTACCAACAAAAGTCGCTCAAATTTTAAAAAGCCTTTCAAATAAAAAAAAATCAAAAGTAAATTTAATTATGAATTGGCTTGATTTGTAATTTTCTTGGTAAGCTGAGCTTTAAGTTTGAATAGTATTTTTAAAAAAACTTTCATAAATAAAAAAATTCAAAGTAAATTTAATTATGAATTGGCTTGATTTGTAATTTTCTTGGTAAGCTGAGCTTTAAGTTTGAATAGTATCTTTTTTGATCAATTTTAATTTTTTATTTTATTCATATATCTCATGTTCTTTTTTAAATTCAAACGTGCCTACTAAATCCGTCCCTAGTTTTATTTTACCTATTCACATTCATTCATCAAAATCGAAGAATAAGAAAAAACATGTATCCAAAATTCGACTCCTTTTCCAAAAAAAAAGAATACATATATAAATAATAAACGTAATTCTTAATTTGACATCAGACATCAGACATCAGCTCATAATTATAATCTTTAATTTAAATATCCATAAATAAATACTTAAATTTATATAAATTAAATAAATAGATATATTCTTTCTATATGATACCATACATAATAAATTTTTTAATTTATATGACATCTTACGTGTATTATATCGTATAAAATATATATATTTACTTATTCAATTTTTAAGTAAATGTCTATTTATGTAAATAAAAAATTTAAAAATATAATTATTTGTTAATGTCAAATTAAAGATCATGCTTATATATTATACACGGAGCAAAAGGGTATTTTGGGAAGATGGTTTGTTTTCACCTGAACAGTAAATAAGGCCCTCAATACTGTCAGCTACTTTGGCTTGACACGCGGCCCCTTGCAACACAACAAAACTGTCACCTTGTGGGACCCAGTAACAAGGATGAGCTTGGATATGGCGCGAAGGTTGTGCCAGCTGTTTTTTTTTTGGCTTGCTTCGTTCCATTCTCGCGCTACCAAACTTTGTATTATGGATCATATTCCGTCCCGGTTCAGTAATATTTGAGCGTGCGATTAAAATTTTATATTAATAATTAAAAATAAAATAAAATAATACTAGCCATATTTTTTTTTTATAGTAAATGATGTTATTTTTACTTTGTTTTATGATATGTTTAATTTATTTATCTAGAAAAACAGATATTTATAAAAGAAAAATTGATTTTAATTGATATAAAGCCCGATATTAAAATCAACGGTCCAAACAAGTTAATAAGTATAGATATATATAGTGATACCGAGGAGTTCGACTTAAATTCGTCTACATGATAATCTTTACCTAAATCTTTAATGATGCATACTTTTAAAAGAGAACAAAATACTAGTGGTCTTTGGAGGTTATGTATGAGTGGCAAAATATTGAATTTATTCATTCAAGCTTATGAGAAAATTAGTTTTAAGAGAAAATTATTGAGTGTTCGAATGAATTTTTCAGGAATTACTGAATATAAAATAACGATACACATATCATGTATAATGTACATAGGTACTCTTTAAGGGTATGAAGTCTATTGAGAAAAAAAACAAATAATTGAACTTAGTTGAAAACGAACCATATGTCATAACATATTAAGAATCTTTTCGTATAATATAGCTCAGCCCAACAATAATATTCACATATATTACTAATCTCCTATTTTGTGGGTAAACATGTTACATTTCGTGATAAGGTATTAATTGAGTAGAAGTCGTAGTGGTTCATTTGGTTGGGTGATTTTTAATTGAAATTTAAAGTAAATGATATGGTCAGTGATTAATCAACGTAACCAATGTGTACTGTTTTGTTCTTAATTAAAAAGGTTTTAGGTTTAAATTTTGAATATAAAAAAAATATCATTAAAAATGAATTATAAGTCCCCATTGTTAATGTTATCTTACCTTTTTGGTGTTTTTTTAAAAGAAAAAAAAATTTAGTCGTCCGTTTCAAAATAATTGATATCTTACTTTTTATTTTATCCTAAAACAAATAAGATATTAAAATTTCAAATAAGAATTGATGTTTTTCTTTTAAAATTATCCTTCTTTACCTAATCAAATGTCATTAATTAATCTTTTTTTATTAGAAATAAGTTAACAAAAAATATGACAGCTAATGTGAAATCGTTATAACGACTTAACAAGGCCAGGTTGGATGATCATTGTCATAGCTTCTTCCACATTAACATATCCTCCCTCAAATTTAACCACCTGCAAGGCTGTAACTAAGTAATTTATTTCTTAAGATGTAATTTAGAGTAAATAATCTCAAATTGATGTATAAATTTTGAATATCCAATGATAAAAAATTCTTTATATGGTTGTATATAACACATTCAATAAAAAACATGTTTATAAAAGATATTTTGACAGATTCTCTATCAGTCAATTTGAATTACATATTAACCCAATCTTTTAGAAACTAACATGAATTGATCTAATAAATAACTAGATCGATAATCCATCACAACTTAAACAGACCGGAGAGTTTGATTTTGCCAAACCTAATAAAACTCATGATAAGACAAAATTTTGACATTAATAGTCTGTTTTTTCCCCAATGGTAGAACATCTCTTTCCCCCAAAGAATGATAGAACAACTTATGGACTTAAACTCAAATATTAATGGGACGGACCACTAGCCTAGCTAGAAGCATGACGCTTGTGGAATTATCCCTATACTGACTATGACTTACGAGATCAACTTGTGGTTAAGAAAGAGTGAAGTAAAATAAAGAGGCATTGGACTTTAATCAATCATATATGATAGGATAGAAATTAAAGTTGTGTTTCACCTGTTTTTTAACGTTTAGTTTAAATTTATAATTACTGATACAACTTAATTTTTTTTTTAATATATTTGATGTGCATACATAGTAGTAATAATTGACAACTACTTGAAATTGATAGGGTTGTGAATGGTTCATTCATTGATGTTCTCTTGTTACATCCAAAAGTAATGTGCATGCTGTTCTTCTTTTCACTTTCGAGTAATGTCAATGTCCTGCTTATAGCTGGTGCTGGATTCATTATTTTTCATATGCGTTGCTTGACGTATACGTCTTTTGCGTATTCAATTTGGTCTCTTACGTATGTATATTATTATATACAGTGTCCAAACCATAACTACATTTCGTGTACCACACATGTTGGGTAAAAGCTGACCGCAATGAGCTCAGAATTTTGTTGACCCATTAACCAAATTATCATACAACTATTTCTGTTGACAGAGTAATATATAGAACCTAGAAGACAATTTTTGAGTCAAATGTGACCTTTGTTATTATAGTCTCATCTCCTACTTAACTATAAATTTAACAAATTATGTGTAAACGATACATATTGAGATAGCCACACAATAGTCCAACAAAATCAACACATTCGTATACATTTTTGATGAATACAGATCAGGGAAAACTATATAGGTAATTAGACGAGCTTTCGTAACTATTAAATTTTACTATATTTTAAAATAATTACGTAATCGTTCTTTCTCCTCCCCTTTCTCTTGCTCACTATCTGTACGTTGCGACTCGAATAAGATATATAATCATTAAAATTATCGATATGTTGCATAATTTAAGATATAATTACCTAAATATACAATTTATTTTATAATATTCGCTAAATTTTTTTATCATTTGAAAAAAAAATACAAAAATTCTCACTTTCTCTAATTTTCGGATACATCACTTTGTATGCGAAATGGAGACGTGGTATATTAGGAACGTTTTGGAATGTATTCGAATTTCACCAATATTTAAGAGATTATTGTAATTTGTAAAAGAAAAGTGATTAGATGTAATTAACTCGAAACCGGTAACACTATGAAATTTGTGTAAAATTCCTATAATTAAAATCTATATCAATATAATTTATATTTTTTTTAATTACTATACTAAGCAGATGAAACCTTTTTTTAGCGCGCTTGTTAAATAGGGAAAATTACGCGGTTAAA